GACTGATGATGATAGCCCATATTTTAACACTAACATCTGCTGAAAATGATCCCAAGAGACAAGTTCCCGGCTAACAGACTTCAACATTTTTGTCACAGACTGCAGTCTGCAGTGAAGGATGCTTGGTTATAATCAACAGCGCTCAAAAGTAACTTTTGTTAAAATCATATAGTCATAACATGGGCAGAAACATGAATAAAACAGTTGAATGATTCTACACAACATATCTAACATAGTTAACATACCTTAATGTAACCAGTGACAATGGGACGTGGAAAATTTTGTATTCAGTATGCTTGATGTTTTGTAAAATTGGTGTGAAACATAAAAACACACCTTGCAGATACCATTCCTGGTATCTTAAGGATAAGATTTCACCTCATAATAAACTCAACAAACTCTGTGGTTTTAGAGGAGATAATGTACAATGTGGTATACACAAAGATCATTACAAGTGCATTAGACATGTAAATTGTACAATGCGAGCCTTCCTGATAATAGTGACATGTGATATGTATGACACACATCAGTAATAATCTCTTTACCATATGTTATTAAAATTATGGAATTTTATGATATAATTTTACTCATCCAAGTAGCTCTAAACACCATGTCTGAATAGAATTTAAGAGTAAACAACCCAATCTATTAATATTATATAGTGCAAAATGACCATGATGACTTGTCACCATGTTTCGTTGACACATTGGTAAACCCCTTTCCAAGCATATTGGGAACGTTAGTCAATAATTTTTTGAGAAAGAAGGCATTGCATTAATGCACAGTTTGAAAGTTGTTTCTGCTACCATACTCATTGGCATATATATATATCACATTGATGACATCATCCATTATATGATAACACTAGATAAATGTAAGTTGATTTCATTCTCTAATTATCTCCCTAGACTTGTGTTTGAAACTTCACAACTTCTGCATTTTTGTTTTTTTTGCAGCACACCGTGACCTAGATCCAAGATGTAGCATGTGCAACTGTGACACCACCACCAGGCAATGCTAACCAGGCTCCCCTGAAGTCCTGGACTCAGATGTATAACATACCAGATGGTTTTGACATAATCCTTGGCCTTTTTACTTTGCTGTCTCGCTAAAAGAGTGATGTGACAGTGATAGGGCTGATCTGTGGACAATGCGTAGTACATCATGTACATGTACCTCCATCCCACCATGTAAATGACACATACAAGATACTATTCAAATGAAGTTAAAGAACACCTGATACCAATCACAAAAACACAATATGACAGCATTATCAGATCGGCCATAATGTAATTTTTTAAACGCTGCATGGAAAACAATTCATTTCTCTCAGTAGTTGGCCAACCTACATCCAACTGTAGTTCTACAGGAAACAGGAACCTTCAAATAACAAGATAGATTATTTTAACGCAGGACCGATTGCTTTTCCCCTCTGCAGAGTTGATTCACTTATCACATAGCAAAAGTAGTGTCTGTTCTAGGTGTGGGGACGGGTAACCATGGTAACTCACGTACGCGGGTCAGGTGGGTACTGAACTACCCACAGTACTACCCAGATCCATGGTTAGTCATGTGATATATTATTTGATGACAAAAACTCACCATGGCTCAGTGGTTACAGTATAAGTCGCTAATGTTAGCATTTCTTTCTGACGATGCACACATTCCTTTTGACTTGTATATGTTTGAGTAAAGATAAAGCTTCAGTGTACACATGATCTGACCGACTGATACATCTATGTAAATAGTTTTTACCAGGGCTGCATTAAAACAATTCCCAATCAGACATTTTGTTCCCAACTCTTGAGACCTACAGTGGGTACCCGGGTAGGGTCAGGTAATAGGGTGTAGGGTACTCTGGTAATAAATCTGGACTCGTCCCAGCCCTAGTCAGTTTAATTAGCTGTTAATAAGAGGCATGTCTGTGTGATTTCATACCCATTTAACAAATCAGAATCATGTATTTACCAAGGTAAGCATTGTAAGGTAACATGGCGACATGGTAGTCAGCTGTAGTATTGTCTCTGTAGCCTGTAATGAACAGAGTCTGCACCTGTCTTCCAGTGGTCAGTAGTAAGTACTCCACCATAAGTCATACTCAGCAACCGATGAAACCCTCAAATTCTGAATGGTCTTACAAGGACTAACAGGATAAAAGCAAGGCTGTGTGGACAATTCATATAGTAAAGTGATCACCCTCCTTGGTTGTCACAAATCTGAGATAAGAAGGAGATAAAATTTCAGACAAGAACTCATAAGAGTACTTCTAATGTAGATTAAGTTTACAGTTCTGGTATTTCACCCCAACCCAGGTACCCCGACTTGAGTATAACACTTTGTTGAGATGTTTATACCCCGATCTGATGGCTGATGTAGGTCCACACAAATACACTGATCAGGGAAGCAAGCAGCTGCCAGGACTGCTCAACCCAATGCCATATTCATATATTCCTACAATTGTCCCATTATTTCATAAAATGTGTCACATCAATTCATGATACATCAATGCCTCAACCCCAAGGCTCAGCACCAAGTCCCCTAGTCCAGCAAGTATGTCACAAGTATGCATGAAAAGTGAAATAGAATTAAGTTGCAGTCATTCACGGCTTCGCACAATACTGTCACAGTATTTGCAAATGATCCCACCAAAACACACTTACTGGAGATACATCAGACAGAGTAATAATATTTGTACTAAGTCAGCCCAAGGGCATTGTTGCTCCAATATATGCGTGCCATTGATCATGTTGATAATTCAGGTATGTATCATTTTTCACGAGATGAAATTATTACAAAAGTGTTTACGCAGAAACAGTTTGGTTTGATATCGGTTAGACTAAAACCTTGGCATCTTTGAAATGTACAACTTGAGTTTCTCCACCCATGATCACTTGAGTGACTTATACATAATTACAATCAAATTTCTTTTATTTCACTTGATGTGTTTGTTCCCTAAAGACATTGATTCTATCATATAGAGGTATAGTAATCCTAAAACACTTCCCTGCGACAATTTCAAAGGATGCAAAGTTTCATGATTCTGACACAAACTCATTAAAATCACATGTTAGTGCTTGCTACCGCTACATAAAGATCTGAGGACAACCCATTACAAGTCACATCAGAAGGACCTTTCATCCAACCAATCAGAGCATTGCTTACGAGATCCCAACCTCAAATTGGTTAACCCAGGGCATTCCGAATGAATCATTGTTCTAACTCGCTTCAACATGTTCAATGGGATAAATATCTAAAACAGAAGAGAATATCCATTGCTAGTCATAAGGACTGCCATATAATCTTGGCCATATATTAGACATTCCAAAAAAATGTGTTGCTCAGTTTTAAAATTTTAAATCAAGAACCCTTGTCAAAAAAATTGATGTGTAGTCTGGAAAGGAAGTTGCCATTTTGAAATTAGTGCCATAGAGCTTGAGAAAGATGCTTTCTGAAGGCTAATATCGACTTCCTGTTAGTCATTTACTGGTTGGTCAAAATTTGCATAATGTCATTCTGACATGACCTGTAATGAGATGTCTTCAGATCTTTGTGTAGCTGTCGCGCTCACTAAGACCCGATTTCAATGAGATTGGATTCTGACACAGAGAGCACAAGTTTTACTAACTTTTAGCCATACAGTTGGGCCATGATCATGATCATAGAGAGAATCCATTCAGTTGTGTATCATGTACCCTGACCGTAGGTATAAACATGTGATCACAAGAGACTTTTAGTATCACCAGTGCTTAGCATGTTTACAATACTACAGGTGGGAATTCATTTCTTGCATTTGCCAACAAATTCAGTAGACAGCGATATACTGAACATTGTTAACTGATAGTTTATTGTCTTTGGCAGAGGGCATGAATCACTCGGGCTGAACGCAGATGTCATTAATCATATTCCATCTGTTGCACCCCTCAGATCAGTGTAACTATCGGGTTGATATCACCCTGGTGTGTATTTCCCATGATATATCACACTCACGTATATGACAAGTGCATATCACTTCCTAGTGGCTATTTCCTGTGTTTAACATACAAATCAGTCAAGTATTCTATGAAAAGCAATCAAATTGAGCAATAACTGTCAAGTCTGATATCTACCCCTAAATTCAAACAAGTCACAGGAGGCTACACCAGCATTCTAACAATGGCGCCTGGTGATGTCACAGTCTCCCATAATTCTGTTTTTCTTGGCACAAATTTCAAACTAGCCTATTGAGTTACAGAGCGCCAGCCCATTAAACTGCACTCAGCTGCAAGTTCTCACCACCGTGATGTCAAGGTCGAGACAATGCAAAGCTTGCAGAGAGTTGCTAAGCAAAGTTTTGAATTTATCAAACTAAAAACAAATGAAATTCCTGTCTAAAGGCATACTTTATTGCAAGCAGCAAGAATAGCATAAACACAACTTTCGAAATAATATGTTTTGATAGAGCATGTTTGTGTGAATAGCACAATATTACTACAACGCATTGTGAATTCTGAAAATGCATTAATTATAAATGTGAAACTGAGTTAGTTTGATCCTATGTGCTACAGATGAGGGTGAGAGAAGGGGGGACTGGGGATTTCCATGCACAGGACAGAGGGAGGCTTTCAGTTCAACAAAATGCATCCCTCCACCACCAAAATGTTGCAAAGTTTAACTGAGCAAGTTTGAAAACTCTTCAATTCTGCTTCTGAAACAAACCTCGCCATCAGTAGTCAAAGTCCAATTTGATTGAAATTTATAATTCATTATTAATCAGTACTGGATAACTGCAAAAACAATCAATTATCACCAATAACTGAGCATGGACCATCAATACTTAAAATGCTTAGTATCACATTTCTATCATGTGCAGACAATATACAGCCCTTGTAAGAACATGACAATATGGAACAATTATTCATGTCCACATCCCATTCCAATTACTGACACCCATAGGAAGCAAGCCCGAGGACCCAAGCAGACTTCCCTTTGACTTCATGGAGGCAGCATCTTGGGGTACTTACTGGATCCTGTGTTGTACAGGGCCTTCACCGACTTCTTCATCTTGGTCAAGCCACTGCGGTCCACGTCCAGGGTCTAGAACAACACAATGGTGGAATCACATACAAAGTGTTAGTGTTGGGGACTGGTTACAGTGCACACACATAATGATCATTTGTTTGTTTATTGTTATTTACGCTACACTCATCAATACTTCTGCCATATGATAGCAGCCTGTAGCAGTCTGAACCAGACAAACCAATGATTGATAGTGTGAGCAATGCCCCATTCTGTCAGAGTACAACCATACAATCCATTAATGATCAGCTCACTCTGGAAGACAAGCATATGTTGCTTCACTTGCTCGGGATCTGGCCCAATTAATGCCTGATTAATGATCAAACTTGAATAAGAACAGGACTATCATAAATTTAGAACACATAGTACATTTTTACTTAGTATGTGATGCATGTCACAGTATATTGCAAGCTTTCTTTCAACACCCAGACGGGACTCAGCCCAAAACACGTACGAGAATCTGTGAGTGAGTGAGTGAGTATGGTTTTACTCTGCTTTCAGCAACATTTCCGCAATATCACGGCGGGGGACACCAGAATTGGGCTTCACACATTGTACCCATGTCGGGAATCGAACCCGGGTCTTCGGCGTGACTATACGAGAATCTGTACTTGACTAAGAAAGCCTGTTATCCCAAATATGATATTTTTACTAAGCCCTTTTCTAAATGACATTGTGTGTTCATTTCTTTCATCTTATTTGTTATGAACATAGATAAAAATAACCTAAATGACTAAAAGTTTTCTTTTACTTCCAATACATCAGACTTTACCCGCACATTGTATACATCTTTGTTGTCTGCCATTTTGTTGGATTTTTTGGTATGGTCACAACACGTGTAATAGACACATTATATACAGGTAGCTGGTTGCGAATAGTCTTGCTTTTTCAATCACAGTTGCTAAATTATGAATTTCATAATTTCAATTCAACTTGTCACTTCTGTAAACTTTTTCAACAAGTTGAAAATATAAATGACTTTGAAAAAAGCAATATACCTGTATTTTCCAAACAAATTGTGATACAAATTCATTAGTATTTCAAATTGTGGTATACCGGTATACCAAATACCACGCTTCTCAACAAGCCATAAAACCGTGTCTGGTACAGTCTTCTCTGATTTCATACATGATATGCTCTATTACATTATCCCCCAAAAAATAATTAAAATGAATGAATTCAATGGGAACATAATCAATCAGAGATTACATGATCGATTCCTTATATGGAATCTGAAACTAATCAATCAGTAAAGAAATCAGTTAATGCTGTTTGACTGGTACTGAGCAAAGGAACAATTTGTTTGTTGTTTTACAAAGCTCTCAGCTAATTCAAGCAATAAAATGGCAGCATGTTAGGGCTGGGACGGGTCCAAATTCACTACCCAGGGTACCCGACCCCCTATTACCAGACCCTATCTGGTTACCCACTGCAGGTCTCAAGAGTTGGGAAAATAATGTCTGATTGGGAATTGTTTTTCCACAGCCCTGGCCAAAACTATTTAGATACATGTATCAAATGATAAAATCATGCATACACTGAAGTTAAATGAAGCTTTATCTTCACTCAAACATATACAAGTCAAAAGGAATGTGTGCATCGTCAGAAAGAAATGCAAACATAAGCGACTTGCTAAGTGTCAAACATGTCACTAGTCAACTAAGCCAATTATTGCACATGATATTCCGTAAATATCTCAATAATGTTTATCCAAAAAAGTGTGCTACATTGTATCATAACAAAATGCCGGTCTCATTATTTGCTTATTCACTATTAACTTTTGACACAACCCCCTGGACATACATTTGCCATTAGCATGTAATTCACGAGGAAATCAGTTCCTGGCAATCCTTCAGACACGAGGGCAAGGTGGAACCAGTGTCTGCTTGTCTACAGTTAGTCAGTTGGAAATTGAATCTTGTCTTGTTATTAATGTAGCCCTAGTTCAGTATCACCAAGACCCAGAACACAAGACTTGGTGGCAACTCAGTGTGCAACTGTTTCAACATATTGTGTCAACTGTCGAGCAATAATTGGATCTGCCACACAACTCTCTCCAGCATTGCAGCCACAAGAAGACATGATAGAATCCCTGAATGATCAGTCTCCATATTGTCAAGGATGATTCATATCAGATAGGGAACCTATTACACAGCACAGTCCCCATGTATACTTCTCTAATTCATTATCAATGTTATGGTGGACCAGAGATTCATCTTTTGAGGACAAAAAGTGATTGAAAATATAGGGTAGTTGGTTAAGAAAATCATTTTACTTTTTATCAGACTTTGATGAATAAACAACACAAAAAAGTCTTTTCTAAAGATGAAGTTGAAACATGAGTTATCCTAGATTAAAGCCAGTAAAATGTAGGTCAAGTCTCCCACCGATGTTCTATTTCGAGAGCCACAGTAAACATTTGGCTCAAAGGAAAAATCTAAGATTCAGTTAATCAGAGTATTTTTCAAGTATGTTAGGCTGTAGGCAGTCTCATATTTCACCCCTTTGGGATGGATACACTGCTTTTATTTTTCCTTGCAATGCAACAATTTGAGTGCATAAAAATGTCATTAGTTTTTTACATACATAACAAGTCACTGTGTCATAAAGAGTTTCTTCCCTTAGTTGTTCCAGGATCCACTGACTGGGGAGCTAAATCCAAGATTTGCTCTGATTATGTCCATTGATGTACATGTGATGTGTACAAACATGCGAGTGATTACCAACCCTTGACCTGTTGACAGTCTCAGCTCTGATAAATAGCCTATATCCATCCATGACAGTGTCAGATGTTGTATATCGCTTGTATCCACCCCTTGACATGTTTGTCTCAGCTGTTGCATACAGCATATATCCACCAATGACAGTGTCAGATGTTGTATAACGCTTGTATCCATCTATGACAGTCTCATCTATTGTAAATAGCCTATCTCCACAAAAGACAGTGTCAGATGTTGTATATCGCTTGTATCCATCCCTTGACATGTTTGTCTCAGCTGTTGTATACAGCATATATCCACCAATGACAGTGTCAGATGTTGTATAATGCTTGTATCCATCCCTTGACATGTTTGTCTCAGCTGTTGTATACAGCATATATCCACCAATGACAGTGTCAGATGTTGTATAACGCTTGTATCCATCCATGACAGTCTCATCTGTTGTAAATAGCCTATATCCAGCAATGACAGTGTCAGATGTTGTATATCGCTTGTATCCATCCCTTGACATGTTTGTCTCATCTATTGTAAATAGCCTATATCCACCAAAGACAGTGTCAGATGTTGTAAATCGCTTGTATCCATCCCTTGACATGTTTGTCTCAGCTGTTGTAAATAGCCTATAACCATCCATGACAGTGTCAGATGTTGTATATCGCTTGTATCCATCCCTTGACATGTTTGTCTCAGCTGTTGCACACAGCATATATCCACCAATGACAGTGTCAGATGTTGCATAACGCTTGTATCCATCCCTTGACATGTTAGTCTCAGCTGTTGTATACAGCATATATCCACCAATGACAGTGTCAGATGTTGTATAACGCTTGTATCCATCCCTTGACATGTTTGTCTCAGCTGTTGTATACAGCATATATCCAGCAATGACAGTGTAAGATGTTGTATATCGCTTGTATCCATCCCTTGACATGTTTGTCTCAGCTGTTGTATACAGCATATATCCACCAATGACAGTGTCAGATGTTGCATATCGCTTTTATCCATCCCTTGACATGTTTGTCCCAGCTGTGGTAGATATGATTTATCCATAGTTGACATGTTAGTTTCAGCTGTTGTGGATATATCAATGTAGACACAATTTATGGATAACAACTTCTTTAATACTGTAAAGGCGATGTTTCGGTATAGATCCTTATACCTTGCTTGAAAACGATATAAGGATCCACACCGTAACATCGACTTTACAGTGTTAAAGAAGTTTGTCATTGGTCAACTTCTAAGTAATGCCTATCAAACAATAATTTATAGAATTTAAATTATATAAAAGTGTCTTAGGTGAGGTTTTTGTACCAAGAATTAAGGGGGTTTCAAGGGGGGGTTACCCTATACACAGGGTAGAAGAGTTTTGATGGTTTTTCCCCCCAACATAAAGACATTACCGTGAGCACAACTCAACCTTATTGACAGCAACCATGGTCAGATTACCACTATTGACGCCTTGAAACAAACTTTGACTCATTTAAAATTTCATTTGTTGTGGTTTGACTTTTATATGTCAACATAAACATGATTAAGTTTACGCGAACGCAAGCATGGGAGCATCAACAGTGATTTTTCAAATTGTTGCATATGACAAAATTATCTGGCAATAGCAATCAGCTGAACCAAACTGCTATGCATATGTTTATTAATTTATTTCAAACATATATAGTAAAGCTGCAACTAAAAAAACATGATATTTTTAATATATTATTCCTGATAATATCATAGTTTCAGAATATAAACTAGCATTGATTTGGAAGGGTTTTACAGGGAGGTCGCTTTGAAGATGGCGTACACGCTGACGTGTGTGTGGTGTGTGGTGTGTGTTCAAATATGCACTACAATTACAAGGCTTATTTAGTATAAACACACCATTGTAAGATTAAAGAAGTTGTTTAGGCTATTTTCACTTTAACATGTTTAATTAGATACTGACCACACTCATTGTCATATATGATTTTTAAAGAATATGTAGGAAAATAATAATCAATGAAAAGAAATTTATCTGAATGGACTTTGAGCTCTCCACCCCAGAGAATAAAGTAACACATTTTTTTCAGCTTCATCAATGTTTTGACAAGGCCCCTCATTGAAAGCATTCTGGCTACCACATGGGAACCCCTCCCCCTCACCTCCAACCTTAAATCCCTTCCCAAACTGGCATCCTATATTCCCCCCTCGCAGCTAAAACAACACCAGCCCATGTTCAGACATCTCAATTGCTCCTCTTGCCCATACTTCCTGAAACTGAGTCCTGCTTATGAAATGAGAAATGCTTTATCTGTCAATCAGGAA